CCTCTCCCGGCCCTTGGCTCAGGCGGCTTACTGATCTCCTGAGCTTTAAACAGCTTGTTTGACATGTTTCACCTGGCAGGGATGACTAATCAGGGCCTCAGGTGTTCTATACAAGCTTTTTGTTCAAACTTCAGCTTCAGTGTCAACCCAAATTAACACAACTTCTTCATAATAAGATAAAAAAGGCAGTGTCAAACAGCTTTGGAAGATGTTCTGTTTTTTATAAGATAAGATATTTAGGTCCAAACTTCATAAAAAACACTCACAGGTATAAACTTTAAATCTTGAAACCCTCAACAATCCCTTTTCCTGCAATCCAATGCCATAAAAGCATATCAGTCATCACATCTCTGGCTGAGGCTTCTCTCTGGTCCACCGACCAAACCAAAACAACCAGCCGGTCTCAACCTGCCTGAAGATTTAATCCGACCTTCGATTCACCTGAAAGTCCAACTGACAGTTACGAAATGTTCTCAAGTTAGAAGCAGCATCATGACGAATGGAAAACTTTTACATAAGTCTTTAATATCTCCGTAAGAGGGGAAGCAGCAGCTGGTGGCATCGTTTCATTTATGGTGTTGTTCAGTGTTGGTCCGTCGGTCAGTTGGCCCGCATTGATAAATACAGACATGATTCCCAAATGAAATTGGTGAGTTTTCATCAAGTGTCACTAATATCTCGAAAACTAATGTCAAGGACGTGTTGAGGGTCTAACCTGAGAAAATAACCCTACCCTTGACACTGCTACCTATATATTAATCTTAATCAACAGCAACAATACCAAGTTCGGATGCTACAGTGTCACATGGCAGGGACAACGCTATCTCTGCTAATAAGATGATACGCATAACTAAACACTGAGCGTGTTAGCATACGATACTCTCTATGCTAAACAATATCTAGCATATATATATATATATATTAGTATATATATATACACACACACACATGACACAATACACATAACAGCAATACAATGTACGCACACGTGCAGCATATTAAAACAATGTAACAGGTGTAACAAGTGTTTTGTTCTTGGTTTTTCGTTTTGTTTGTGTGGTTTTTTGGGCTGCCGCGGCGTTGTCGCATCTTTTAGCATCGTTAACGATGCTAAGTTTAGGCACGATTAGCATTTTAGCTCAGAGTTTAGTCAAAGTACAGCTGAGGCTGACAAAGTGCTAGTTAAATCTGATGATTATAGTCTGAAAATGTAATTTCAATATTACTTAATATTAGAATGTAAACGGTTATTTTATTATTGTTCAGCTGTCAGATGAATTGTGGCGCCCCTTGTGGACAAAAGCAGTAGTGTTTGCTACTTATTCAGATTGATTTCAAGAGGAATCGTGACCCGCTGAGAGAATAACTGATTACAGAAAGAGCCAAGGTCTCTCACTGAGTGTGGTGTTGTTAAGTTAACTGTAGGCTTCGATTATAGAGGGCTTCAGTATTTGGACTGTGTTCATAACCCGTTAAAAAGTCCTTGTAGTATGTTTAAGGAAAAATGACATTTTAGATATGACAGTGTAGAGCTGAGCCCAACAAGCTGAGACTCAGATGTCCTAAAGTCCTTCAGAAATACGAGCTGTTTTGTTTCTTATTTTTTCTACAGTATATCCAACATTTGTTTTCTGCTCCATAATTAGGCCCAGAGCCTCACAGGGCCACTGTCTCTACAGACTCTTGTTTTATTTTAACTAGAGGATTAAATTACATATAATCTCCAAAATGTGCGATCAAAAACCAACCAAAAAAACCTGCTTTCTTGCCAGCAATATGTATACAGAACTGTACATTCAGGACTGTCCAGGAAAGGCAGCTGACTAGTGAAGACAAATGTAAAATCAAGACTAAAGTGTCAGTAAAGTGGGACACAAAAAACAGATAAAAACAAGAATAATTAGAACAAGACAGAGCAAGTCGAAGACAAATGCCAACAAACAGCGCCAGAGCGCACATGTGAGTACATTTGTGTTCAGAGAAAAAAGAATAGAAACAGAATAAACAGGAACAGAAACACTGAGATTACAGGATGACTATGAGCAAATCTATTTCTTTATACATTGTCTTTCCTTGTCTCCTTCCCTCTTCTCTCATTTCCTTCTTCGTCTACCTCCTCCTTCCTCTTTTTTTACCACAGATCCAGACAGTTCTGCTTTAGCCCATGCACCCACACTTTTAGACAATGCTGAGTTTGCTCTACTTTTAAGTGTGCTGTTGGTGGACGCAAGCAGCAACTTCCAGCTGGAGACAATTATAATAAATTGTGGACAGCAGAGAGACGTCTCCAAGAACATCTTAGAAAAAATATATTATATATTACATC